CTCGTTGGGGTTTAGTCCAAATCTGCATCCTTTCCTTCAAGGCTCAGGGGTCCAAGATTATCTTCTGTGTCTGTGTTAATTGGTTTCCCTTTTCTTTTTTGAAGAGGGTCTGTGCAATCCTTCTGCCTAGTCCGCCATCTTCATGACATAGATTTTTAAAGCAAAGAACTATTTTTTTCTTTTTCAGAGGGGGTGATTAAAAAAAACAAACCAAGAAAAATAACAAAAAGCTACTTTATAAAAATTTGATTCTTTAAAAGCAAAGCAGAAAATCTGGAAGCAGATGAAACTCAGCAGAGCACTTCTATTGTCCTTTTGGTTTTATCCTCTGCATTGCCAATATATTTCACATAGTGTTCCTAATAAATAGATTTTTTTTTTTTTTTTAATGATTTGGGTAAAAGTTTACAGAGAAAATTCACTTTCCATACAGTAGTTCACATACACTTTGTCTCATGACATTGACTACAATTCACCACAATGCAATAGCTCCCCTCTCACTTCTTCCCCATAGTTACCTCTTCCCTGCCTTCATGCACTCCTTCCCTTCATGCACTCCTTCATGTACTTCCCTTCATGCACTCCTGCCCCGAGTTGTCTCCTTGTGCATACACAGCCCTTCTATTCTCCTATGACTGTTCTCTCCAAGGAGTGTATCTATCTAGTGTAAATGTTCACCCCATGTGCCTGTCTTTTGTTTGGGTGGAAGCCACAGGATTGGGTTCAATTCCAAACCTGACGGGCAGCTAGGGACCACAGTCTCAGTGGTTCCATCAGGCTCTATCAGACCAGCAAACCTGGTCCCTTTCTCCCCCACCCCCAAATGATTTTCAGTTTTGTTCTGCATTATTCTCCCACTCTATCCAGGATCTCCTATATAGATTTCCCCTCCTAGTGGTTGACAGTGGTAGCCAGGCAACATCTAGTTCTTCTGGTCTCATAGTTGTATACTCTGAGGATCACATGGTGTACCAGTCACTTGGACTAAGTGTTTCCATAAATCTTTGGTTTTCTTCATTCTTCTTTGCTCAGGACGAGGAGAGACCCATCGTTGCATCTAGATGGCTGCTTACAAGCTTTTCAGTCCCAGTCGCTACTCGCCAAAGTACGATGTGAAACAATGTTTTGTGTAGCATGTTATGCCAATTGAGCTTGATGTCCCCTGCAACTATGGTCCTGAGCCCAAAGGTCCAACTACTCGCTCCTTCTGGGCAGCTGGTTGTGGTCCACAAGTGACTACAACCTTGTCCCTTGTCAGCTCTACTATAGTATATACCTGGGAATCCTTACAGAACATACCAATACACTTGTAGAAACATTGTCTATCAACCCTATATATCTTGGGCACACTCCCCCTGCACAGACATACCTAATAGTTCAGCTTGTCCACCCATCTATCCACCAGTATATGTGTTCCTAATAGTCTTAAAATACTTATAGTTCAGTGTAGCTGGGGCATCAACTGTATGGTTTGCTATAAAAGGTTGACCTATTGTCTATATTTATTTAAATTATGAATGCTGCTTTTTGTTAAAATCCTATCATCTTTGCCTATGTTCCCAGAACAGTTTACAAGAATAAAGATGCACTGAAACTTGTTTCAATCTTGGAAACAAATAAATAGGTAAGTGTTATTCCAACCTACTACTCCCTTGAATATAAAGTCAATAAAATAACTTTTCTTCATGTAAACCTATCCTGTAGTAATAAACAAAGCCAGATACCAAAAGCCCTGAGCTAATTTTAAAAAACTAGAGTTGAAATAGTTCAAAAGTGACATCAACAAGTAATTGGACAAAGATGTGGGATTCTTAAAATGATACTGAAATAGACAGGATTAAAGGTCTGCTACGTACCCATTTGTGTATCGGGAAACTTCTTCAAAGAAGGAAGATGCAGAACGAGCCTCTTCACTGTCTTCTTGAACCTGAGCAAGGGGAAGGCCTGAAAAAGAGATTCTGAAAGATGAATTTTCTATTCAATTTATAAATTAAACTTCAATTTCATGTTTCCAGGATAATAATGTCAACTCAAATGGTTCTTTTCTTACTCTCAATATTAACAGTTGACTCTGAGTATTAAACTGTTGGGTAAGCTTTGTCTGTCTTTATATTAGCTAGAGAAACAACTAGGGCAGAATCATAAGACTTGCTAAACCCAGATGTTTAATAAATATTTACCTCACTATAATATAACCAGGTAAATAAATTAATGATGATCTACCTGTTCCGGGTTTATTAGGACAAGATCTAAGAAAGAATAAAAGTGTTTTCCTTTTAAAAGTGATTTTGACAGTCTTAGCCAGAAGATGGAAAATCAACCTCTAGAAGGCAAGCAGGTTGCTTCATGCCCAAACAAAGAGCCACATAAACAGAACCTTATGAGGTAGCTTTCCTCCATTCACCTACCCTTAAGGAAGGAGCTCTGGTGGCATAGTGCCTAAAGCATGTGACTGCTAGTCAGAAGGCTGGCAGTTCAAACCCAGCAGCCACTCTGTGGAAGGAAGACAGGGCATTCTACCACCTCAGAAACCCAATGGAAGTCACTATGAGTCAGACTCGACTCGATGACTGTGGGTTTGGTTTGGCTTTTATTCTTAAGGAGGACCACAGATCTTTCTGGTAACTGCCAACTCTGCTAATTTACTTTAGGATTATGTTCTGGGTAAACCATTTATGTTCCCTGGACTTTAATTTTCTTATACTGAAATACAGATAATAATGTCTACCTTGCATGTTGCTATGTGGGATGGTTACAGCACATTTGAATAGTGCTCTCCTTTTAAAAATGCTTTTGTTTATATATTGACTCATCAGAAAGGCCACAATTAAAATCACCCTGACTATCTTATCTTGGATGAATATTGATAGTTCTTTTCTTTTTACAATTAAGATCTCTTTAGGAAATACACCTTTCTTTTTAAAGAGTTTATATTTGTACAAATTATTTTGTTTATATGAGGTAAATTTTACATGCAATAAAATGTACAAATCTTAATGCAACCATTTGATAAGTTTTTGACAAATGCTTATATTCATGTAAACGATAATAAGTTTTTTTACTTAACTTTTCTGATTTTATTCTTGTGTCTTGGTCCCCAGTGACATTAACCTAATTATTTGGTTTATCTTAAAAATCATGTAAAATAATTTCAAAATGACAATACTAGTTACCACTTGTACCACAAACATGAATTTGGTTTAAGATTTTTTGTAGTTCTTTTGTTGTCAGAACATGTACCACTAGGATGTACAGTTGAAATACTATGTTTTAAAGTCACTTGAGGTAATTATTTTCTTGATACATTTGGTATAGTTAGGTTTGCTTATTGTTTTCAGTTTTTTAAAATTATTTTCCCTGCTTTGACTTTCTGTTTTTAAATAAGTAAGGCATTTATAAGGTTCTAAAGTCAAAACTATAAAAAAAGAGGACATTCACAGGAGTCACTGCTTGGATCCCTGTTCCCTTTATCTTACCCCTAAACTATTTTTTATTAGTTTTCAGTTTATAAATTAAAAAAAAATAATAATAAGCAAGACGTTCACCAAATTATTCCTTTCACAGCTATTCTACTTTTCCCTGTTTAAAGAGCATTTATGCATTTATGGAGAAACAAATGAATGATCATTTAACGAAGACAAAATACAGGACTTAAAAATGCATAATATGATTAGCCAGAAGCATAACTAAGTCTGCCAGTAAAGCATGGGGAAATATTATTTACAGCCAACACCCAGATGGGAGGTATTACCTGTGTCTATGGTAAGAAGTATCTGAAGTATGTGTGCCATGGTGATCAAATGGAAGAGATAGAGGTGGTTATAAGAAGAACCAACTGATGAAGGCTGTAAATCAACAGTGTCATCACAATACAAGGTTGGGAATGCTAACACAGCACCTACCTATGAAAAAAAATGTACATTAACATGGTATCAAAAAAGACCAACACAAATTAATTTCATAACCAAATGTAAAGGGCACCAGATGCTATACTCTTCCCCCCTGAAAAGATAAGGAAAAAAAAAAAAATCATAGTTTTCTTAGTTACTCAGTAGAATATCTATCTTAGAATATAATGTACCATAAATGGAGGGCAAAGGTCATCACCAAACAGGTTATTCCTTTGCTGAGTCAACTTGTTCTAGGTCTAGGTAATGGTTCTCAACCCTGGGGTTCAGAAGATTCAAACTTATTATTAGTTAAGGGAGCTCTTAAATAACACCCCACCCCAGTTCAAGCAAATAAAAATCTTTAGGGGTAGGGCCCAGGCAGTGGTATTCTTTTAAAAGTTCCCCAGGAGATTATAATAGAAGGTTGGGTAGAGGCCTGGATAATGAAAGGTCAGGATGCTGGGTAACCTGCATCCCTGAACTCTATGCTTCATACTCCCCAAACCTTACCACTGTTCTCCCTATAACTCAGTATGAAATAGTAGTCATACTATATAGAAATTTACAAGTATGAGAAAGAAACTCACAAAACAGTTATTACCTGTCCCTAAATGTCTGTGGGAAGCCTAGATGCACACATGGCATGGTCCCTATCACCAAATAATTAATGATTTTAAGATAGCTTGCACTGTTGTAAATGAATTAAAAAGTGTATATGTACGTGTGTGTATGTGAGTGTGTGAGAGAGAAGCATAATATAGTAGACTTAGAAAAAGTTTGAGTGTATAGGTACAAAGTAAATATAACCAACTAGGATAAGATTTATTAAAAAGTAAATGTGCTTTCACTTTTAAAGTGATTTTGATGGTCTCTGTCAAATCTGTACCACACTCACTAGAACAGCTATTTGCAAACAGAATGGACAAGATAACAGATTATATAGGTGGAACACCATTAGTTTATAATATTGAACAGAGAGCATAAATTTGAATGAAGGAAACACCTAAAACTATAAACTTAAAATTTAAAAAAATTTTTTACTGTAAGCTTACCAAAACATGAAACAAATCTATAGATAGAAGGCATGGTGTATCTTCTGATTTTAGGTTAGGAAGAACAACTTTAAAAAAAAAAGAAAAAAAGTTAATGTTATTCAGTTAGTAAGACAGCAATGTTGCTTGAATAGAATGCAAGATATATACATCTAGAGCAAAAACATAACAAGTTAGTACATCACATCTTTAAAATACAGGAACCATAACTAAAGATAAGCTGAAATGCAAAAAGTCTCCTAGAAAGCCTTGGCTACAATTTAAGGGTTGAAAGGGAATATCTAGGAGGAAAAGATACATGAACTAGGATAAACGAAATAGACTGTTCAATAAACATTTGCTGAATGAATAAATAACTGATTTTATATAATGATCTCTACCACTTTTTATTCAAACTGTTCTGTGATAAAATATGTGAGCAAATCTGGGCTGGAAGTAGGAAGAGCATGCAAAGCAGAAGGGTCAGAAAGACCTATCTGAATAAAAGTAGATAATATTTTATAAGGATTCTTGTTTTGAAGGAAATGCAGACAGCGCAAAAGCTATTGTCTTTCTAATTTGACTGCTGCATGGAAAATGAATTTGCTCTGTAAACTTCCACCCAGATCATGATTAGGAAAAAAAAAAAAAGCTATCATCTTTCTAATTTGGTCAATCTCTAAGGAAAAGCAACGAATTTAGAAGTCAAGGCAAGAATGCCAAAGAAGTGAAATTAAGAAATCAAGAGAACAGGAATGGATTGTATGCATAAAAATGTGAGAGTGAATTTTCAACAAAGGTTTTATTTAAAAAAAGAAAGAAAGAAATTAGGTAGAGAAGACTCTCTTGAGATTAGGTCAATTTCTTAACCTAAAACCCAGGATTCTAAACAAAAAGCATAAAGCTTAAGAACATGAGCTCTGGAGTCAAAATTGGGTTCCAGTATTGGTTCTGACTACATTTCATAGGCAAATGACTTAATTTTAAGTCTACCAAACCAAAAAAACCAAACTCACTGCTGTGGAGTCAGGTATGACCCATAGCCACCCCTCCTTGGGTTTCCAAGGCAGTATCACTATGGAAGTAGATTGCCGAATCTTCCTTCCGAGGAAGATTTTGAACCGCCAGCCTTCTGGTTAGCAGTCAAATGCCTTAGGCACTACGCCACCAGAGCTCCCTTTAAGTCTACAGTATATACAAAATTGTCGAGTTCATTAACATATGCATTTAAAGCACTTACCCCAGTACTTGGCATGGAGTAACCACTCAATAAATGTTATTAATATTGGCTCTATTAAATAAAGTGACACAGGTCTTCTGTCATTAACTAATTGTGTGACCATAATAAATCACTTGCTGTTTCTAGGCTTCATATTAAAAATTTTTGGTAATATTTCTGATATATCAGTAAACATGTCTATGATACTACCTATCTTATTTTCTTCTCATTGTTACAATTTGTTTTTTTCTCAGAACATTTAAATAATTCCTAATCTCCAGTCCTGAATTCCATTACCTTTTCAGCCAGTGGAACACCTTTTTTGTCATCAAATTTTGCTTATAGGTAGTTCTGAAACATTTTTTTTTTCCTGATTGCTGAAAATACTTATTTTAAAATTCTTTTGAAATCAAAAGTTAATTTTGGCATTTGTAATTTGATTTCATCTATCAGTTAAGCCTTCTCTTTATGCTAAATTAAATATTTGGGCAAAGTTTACATGATACAGTGGGGAAAGCAAGCGCTTTTTGGATAGGTCAGGGTTCAAATACTATATTAGTTTTGTCTTTTACTAGTTTTGTGGCCTTGGACAAGTCATGTAACTTTTCTATGACTCAGTTTCTTTATCGGTACATGCAGAGAAAGATAACTTCCTTAAAGGATGATGGTTAGAAGTAATGACGTTTATATAAAAAATTCCTAGCACAGTGCCTAGCACATAGTGAGCAGTGGTCACTGTATTTTTATTACTACTGCAGAATCAACATATCAAAACAATATTCATCACCTTTCACACAAAAAGAGTCCCTAGTCCTGTCAATCATTCTGTTATTCATTTTAGTTAAAAATCTTGTCCTTACTTCATCCCACCCTAAATCCTTCCCTAATTCCTGCTACTATATCTAGACATATATTTTTATTACCTTTTGTTTTTCTTTTCTCCAATTTAACCTACAAAATACTATCCAATTAACCTTAAAATACCACTTCCCCATAACTTTTCAGATTCCCAATTAACTAAAGAATAAAGTTCAAACTTCTCACTGGGGCTTAAAACACTTTATCAAAACAACTTAATGATTTTCTATCTACAGGTACCACTACTTCTATCAAACCTGTCTATTTGAACATAACATGTACTTTTCCCCTCCTCAATCTTTGCTCCAACTATGTGCCCTGTGTTTGGAATGTCCTTTTTGTTCCCCTCAACTTAATCTCTTATGAAACCTCCCTTCAAGTTTCAATTAAAATTGTACTAACTTCTAGAGAAGGTAAAAACAGAGACGCACAGTAAGCACTTCTTTGTCTCAATTCTTGAAGCATGTATCCGTACTGCAAATCTGGCCTTTGGCTACTTTATAATGTGCGGTTTCACCTAGAGGTTTTGTTTCTTTAATTCAATTCTAAGTCTTGAGACAGCTAGGAAAATATTTTATACCTCTTTATGTACTTATAGCTCTAACACCTACCACAGAACTACTGCAAATAAAGATGCTCTGTTGTTGTTGTTATGCGCTGTAGAGTCGTACCCGACTCACAGCAACCCCTCCTTGGGTTACCGAGGCGGTATCACTACGGAAGTAGATTGCCCCATCTTCCTTAAGAAAAGATGCTCTAGCTAGTAAATTTTCACATTATACAAATTTCCATACATATGCATAAAGCTATGTTGTTGTTGTTATGTGCCGTCGAGTTGGACTCGACTCATAGCGACCCCTCCTTGGGTTTCCGAGGCAGTATCACTACGGAAGTAGATTGCCCAACCTTCCTTCTGAGGAGTGGCTGGTGGGTTTGAACTGCCAGCCTTCTGGTTAGCAGTCAAGTGCCTTAGGCACTATGCTACCAGAACTATACTACAGAGCAAACGCATATCAATTTTATTAGTTACTGCTAAGTAGAAATGATGCACCATCACTTTGTTGTTGTTGTTGTTGTTTGCCATCGAGTCGGCCCCGACTCATAGCGACCCCTCCTTGGGTTTCCGAGGCAGTATCACTACGGAAGTAGATTGCCCAACCTTCCTTCTGAGGAGTGGCTGGTGGGTTTGAACCGCCTGCCTTCTGGTTAGCAGTCAAGTGCCTTAGCCACTATGCTACCAGAGCTCCTCACCATCACTTTAGTTTCTCCATTTGAGATGTTTGTGCTTATTTTTTAGATGTCTTAACCATAAATTCCAATTGTGTGATGAGCACAAAAGCAGTGAGGTTATTTGGAAGTGTTAGTGGGGAAAAAAAAAAAGGTATTCAAATTATTGCTGAAATGAAAGAGATAAAAAAAATAAGAGACAAACCCAGAACAGTAATAAAATGAGATGTTGTTCACGCAAATAAGATGAGCTGTTTAATAACAGGAAGAGTTTCAAAGACTAACGACAGGCACACATTACACATGAAATGGTCTGGACCAGTGTAAAGGACCAGTAAGAGAAAAAGTAAATGGAAAAATTTTTAAGTGTATGGCTAGGAGATCAGCAGCAATACTAAACTCCTATTAGCATGATGTTAATTCAGGAGATAGTCAGAAATTAGTACGAAAATATAAATGTGAAATAAGGTGGAAGTTTAGTAAAACTTGGGTAGCAGCCTTGGATGGAGCTGTGGCATCCCTGGGTCATCAGAATTAGCAGAAAGCTGCTCAGAAAGAGTTCCCTAAGAAGCTTGTGTGAATTAAGGAGAAAAGTTGCCTGCCTCAACAGATTTTCAAGGCAGAGAAACTGATCTATTTTAGCAATAAATACTTGCTAGGTCAGTTTTCAGAAAACTACACCTGGCTTTAAAGCTTTAAAAAAAAAAAAAAACCAGATAACTTACTTGTTAGAAATGTATCTGGACAATGCAAGCTTAAACCTCTCTTTTGTTGTTGTGCACTGTTGAGTTAATTTGACTCAGAACGACCCTATATGACAGAATAGACTAAATCCCCATAGGATTTCCTAGGCTGAAATCTTTATGAGAATAGATTGCCAGGTCTTTTCCCCCACGGACCTCTCAGTTAGTAGTTGAGTGCTTTAACCACTGTGCCACCAGGGGTCCTTCCTGTGACATTGGGGGTTTATAAATAAAGAGACTTATAAAAAGCCCTTCCAAACCTGACCTGTTTGGATGCAGAGGGGCTCCTGTACTAGGACACAAATGTCCAAATGGAAATGCAGATAACCAAAATGCTAAAAGCAAATCAGCCTATACTGCATAATCTCTAATTCTTCCTTTATTTCTGTATTAATCAAGAGCACCATACGAGGTCTTAGTAAATTTCTAACTTGCTAGAATGAGAAAATAAGATCTGTTATAGCTTGCCTTTCAAAGAAAGGGTTAAGCATCTGGGTTTTGAGATTATCACATTTGTAATAGTAGAAGCTCTGGTAGCATAGTGCCTAAGGCAGATGATCCTTATCCTCATAGAGTTTACAATCTAGTAATCAGACTATACCTGATATAGTTAAAAGCAAACTGGAATATTTGCCTGTATATGTAGTTCCCAACATACGATGAAGTTCCATTCTGACAATTCTGTCATGAGTTGGTTCTGGTGTAAGCAATCTACTTCCATAGTGATTCTGCCTGGGAAACCCAAGGAGGGGTTACTGTGAGTAGGTTGTGACTTGATGGCACATAGCAACAGTAACATTCATATTACTGCTCTCTTTTCTAAACAGACCATGGATACAATGTTAGCGGTTGTAGATACTGAAAAGGCAAAGGGACTCCAGGCCGAGAAAGCTAGGTGAGTAGAAAGGGTGCGAGTTGAAAATATTTGAAAAACACCTGATTTTGTATAAAATTGAAGGGAGGGAAGCTATTTGGTTTTTATTTTTATTAGTGAGTTTTTGAAATTATTGGAATGTGGTGTTTCCTAATGAAAAACATTGTCAGGCAGTAGAAAAAGACATATAAATAGTAACAGCAATAATTCAGAGAAGATTCTACCTGATAGCAGGCGAACTAGATGTTTCTGTATCAGGACCTGAGGGCAGGTACTCCTCTGTGCAACTGCAAACTGCATTAATGCTTTCAGACCATTGTGCTAGATTATAAGAGAGAGGTATGAAAAAAGGTAAGAAAAGATCACAGGCCCACATCCTTCAATGTAAAAACCAGTTCCATCTGCCAGAATTAGTTGCAGTCTCATCATATACTTTCCATTTTTTCAAAGGAATTACAATATTCTTAACACCTCTAAAAGTTTTATGATCTTACCAAGTTTCTAATAGTTCTTCCCATGATAAAGACATAGTAAAGTTACAATCATTTCAATTTTCATTTAAGCACTCATTTTCTTCAGAGTCAAGTTCTAAATGTCTGATCTAATTTATTTCATTAAAGACTATGCAAATATATTTATAGAAATTCTAAAATAATGGCTGAAAACCACTGAATCCAGAGACTAGATCTTCTGCTTCCCAAATGGCAGGATGAGAACTGTGGGGAAACGCATTTGAGATTTTAAGTCTCCTGTGCCAGCTGGAAAACAAGAGGAAAACTGGCAAGGCGGAAGGTAGTTGGAGGAATCTTCAATGTCTTTTCTGTCTTTATGGGGCTACTAGGCACAGTTTTTGAGCACTGTTTTTATGACGCTCAGGCCTGAGATGATAGTACAGTATAATCATGTTGTAAGTGCCAGGACCTGCCAATCAAGGAGTCATGGCTTTTTGTTTTTAATTCACTGTGATGATTTATCTGGAACTAAGCCAACATTAATACTCAATGTTATTTGCATCCAAAGCACAATGATAAATAAATAAATAATTAGCAGGCCCCCCCCAAAATTAATGTTGTTTGATGGTATAAAGTTAGTAATGGACAAAGAAAGTAGGAGACATCAGGATTCTCATCTGGCAATAAACAGAGAGGGGAGAAAAGTAATCAATTATCACCTGAAATATCTTTGTGAGTTACAGTTAACCACCAAGATTGGATAAGTTGTGTATAGTGTAAAACACTGGCCATTCAGTCTCCTATAAAAAGGGGCTAATTTTTTTAATAGAACTCTGTTCATTTTTACAGAAAAAGGTGTGACTAAAAGTCAAATAATTAATAAACTGTGGACTCCCTAAAAAAGCATACCATATGGTGCTGGCAAAACTGGAGATCCATTTGCAGAAAAATGAAACAAGATCTGTACCTCACACCACACACAAAAACAAACTCCAGATGGATCAAAGACTTA